TTTTGCTTTGTAAGGTTGTAACTGTGCATGGTGGCGATGGTGCTGCTGTTCCCGCGGGCGACCGAGTCACACTGTGTCCGTCTGAGCGTGCTGCCGCGTTTGATATCAGGCGACTGATAGTAACTGATAGCGATACACGAGATGTGGCGTACCCGGGACTTAGGCCCCAGAGGTATTCCCCGCTTCAGAGCACAAGAGATTGCGCATCACGCATCGCAAAAACAACTCGGCGACAGAGCTCTGCGAAAATCAAGTTCTTTTTGGTCCCCGAGGATGAACTGACGAGATGTCAAGGGGGTTCTCCCCGATAGGAAGCCCTTAAAAGTTCTTTAAGCAATCCGTGACGTTAGTCTGTCAGAGACTATTCTTACATCGGAGTCTGATTCGAATAATCCAGTATTTTTGATGTACGGGCATTGGTTTAAGAGAAAAAATGTAATATTGAAATATCTTACAATCAACATACATACGGTTAGGAAGTGAGATGGACATCATCATATGAGTTCAGAAAAAGGTAATGAAAGACATCTTTCAACAAATATTCTTGATTTCCCCCCCCCCCAAAAAAAAAAGAGGATTTTTGAAATCTTCAATTTGGATAATTGGATGAAATAATGTCAACATGGGTTTTGATAAGAAACATTCTGGAAGTAGCTCATGCCAACTCTGATTTATTCCAAAAGTTTTGTGACACGTGGACTTTTAGTTTTTAAGCTATGGGGATTGCACTTTATCTGATCAACCAACTTGTGACCACAGAATCTCTTCGACATAGCTGGAATGGATTAATATGTACTACCAATGTTTAAGTTGACATTCTTCATTTAACATAACAATTATCGATCATAATATATGTGTATTTAAAAGTTCTAGTTGTTCCGTTTACTTTTGGTTGTTTTGATTATCCAAAACCACTCAAATAGATGCTGGTCTTTAAAAAAATAAACGGTTATTTATTCATATTTATGTTAAGCAAAAGCAAAAGTAGAATCCTATTGTCTATTGGACTCGCTAAGCTTTAACATATTAGCAGAGCCCCTCACATTATAGCGTACCAGCGCCAATGGCACATGGCTGCATAGCGGGATTGCCTACCTACTGTTTTGCAGGCGCTACATGCACAAAACTCCCAAACACAAAACAAATATAGTAAAGAACGAGCAGATTAATTTTGTAGCAAATTCATTTGGTACACCTTGCAACTTGTTCATCATTGAAACTGCAACGTTACATATAGAATATTGTTTCCTCGGCCGCCACCCCAGTGAGTAATGTGCATACCACTTCGCGCTAGACGCTAGACCTCTGCTAGCTCCACAGGGTCACACTCGCTGCACAGCACCTCGGCCCCGGGCAGCACCCGCCGCACCTCGGCGCGCTGCTCGCTGCAGGTGACTGGCTTGTGGCTGCAGCCCCACCTCCGCAGCACGAGCCTTCTGAGGGCCTGCAGCCCGCTCTGCTGCAGCAGCGAGTGCAGGTCGCCGCAGGTGTCTGGCCACTCCTTGATCCCCGGCGTGCCCACGTACAGTTGCAGCTCCTCCAGCGTACCGGCGTGCGCTTTCAGCAGGGACTGCGTCGTGGCGCGGGGAAGGGTCCCCACGCTGAGCCACTGCAGGCCGTCGCGTCCCGGCGGGAGCGTGGGCAGCTCGGGGGGCTGGGCGTGCAGCAGGGCATAACCACCCGACAGCTCCAGCCTCCTCAGCCGCGGCATGGCGTCGTGCACCTCCCGCAGATGGTCCTCGAGGGCGAAATACACACTGAGCAGCTCCAGCGAGGGCGCGGCGCACCTCAGCAGCTGGAGGCTCCAGGCAGGGTCCTCGTGGCACCACACCTTGACCAGCCGAGTCACCTGCGGCAGGATAAAATCACCAGTCCCCCTCAGGTGGTTGTCAGCGGGCCGCAGTCTGAGCTGGTCGCCCACTCACCCCTGGCGCTTCTGCAAGGCGGGCCTCCTTTTCCTGCTGTCGTGCGGTGGGCCCGGTCTGGCTGACATCCTCCACGTTCATCTCGCACGCCATCTGGTTGAGGGTTGGGGCAGGGATGACGTTGCACTGTATGTCGGCGGTGGGTCCGGCACTGCTGGTCGCGCTGTTGCTTACTCGGCGTCAGATTATTCGCGGAGCGAGCGAACGAGCGTTCGACGGATAGCGAGACTGCGAGTTCGCGATGCGCAGCGAATATCAGTGACACCAGAGAAGTTTGTCCGTGAGTCACGAGAGACCGATAAGTCCTCAGACTTTACTCAGAAACGGTTTACTGACGAAAGAGTATACTCACAGAGTTTTCTCGCAGAGTTTACTTACAAAATCCGCACACTGACAACCCTGAATAAAGATCCCGAAAATTGGCTGATAGAGAAGTAAGTGCAAGATAGGATAAGACCCACCCAGCCAACTATGTTGCTTTGCGGACGAAGCTCGA